TAGAGCAACCATTCTTAGCTGCCTCTCAGCCTCTTTTGCTTGCATTAGTACACAAAGCCTTTGAGAAGGTATAACATTACGCTTGACATTACATATACAAAGACAAAGACAAAGAGGTTTTCCGTTTTGTGCTGACGAAAGCTCTCAAATTTCTGTGGTTTTAAGGACCACCTTAATTGAAGTCGAAGCAGTGAAGATAACGGAACAGTTTTGAAGTAGTTGACATTTTTGACAATTTTTTGAAGAAGCAAAACCGCATACCTTCCAATGGGATATTATAGACACAGTAAGGTCAATGTCAGCTGACGAGTGCCGACGAACACATGAAATTGGTCCTAAGCAAATAATTCAACCAGTAAGAAAATAGATGTAGATTGCTTGGGTAAAATCTGTCAATTGGGGTTAATGCCAGGAGACTATGATAATCTTTACTAACTGAAACAGCAGGGCAAATATATTAATAGAAAGTACCCCTACTACGTCCTGTTGTCATTTCAAAAACCACCCTTTGATTTCCGTCAGGAAAGGAAATGCATTGTTATTTGGCATCCTCGTTTTAAACTTTTAATCAAACTGATTTCATTTTTAAAGCATTTTATATAAGTTATTTGACGTTTCTTCTCCAAAGATTTTTATTCATCAAAAGGAACTCTGCTACAGGAAACAATTAATAAAGGATCGCACTATTTTTCTAACGTGGTCGGTATATAGCTAACTATAATCAACCCGTTGTCAGTCAGAGTCAGACACACCACAGTGCAGTGGTTTCCAGTCAGGATGATCATACAATATTTACCAACAATATATTGGATTGTCGGCAAAATGCATGCGATGGGGATATTGTTGCAGCGGATGTATTAAGATCATTTTCACCACGCCTCAGCATTTCTAGACAGTCCTTACTTTGCTTAAAGCAAATTGCAATACCCTTGAAAGCACTTGGCCTGAAGTAGCGTTATATAACCATTAATTATTTAGCAGACTTCATCCCACCACATCGCAGAGCCAGCCCACCAGATAAGCTAGACCAGATGCAATAAGTGCCGAAAGAGCATCCGAATTAGCTCCGCATTCTTAGCTATACAGCGTACTCGAGGCAAAGAAGGGAAAGATGTTCTTGGAAGAAGAAACTACGGAGAAACTTCCAATTTTGTATGAGATTAAATAAGAAAAAACGGCGTTTCGCCTTGACATGTAGGAATAGAGCTTGTGACCTTGATATCTAGGAATTTTGGCAACACATTTAAAACGGATGTCTGGTGATCAGCCAATGGCCTAATGTCATTCTCCTACTTGTGTGTGCTTACTTCAAGTAGTAGTAGTATTTGTCACCATGTCACTGCGTCTTGCGCCAATCACAGTCAGAGAATGCAAACTGATTAGTTGCGCTTTTTCTAAGCAATGTGACCTTCAGTTAGTGCGTGTGATGAACAGACGGTAGAAAACCGCTGCGGTTAATAATAGACCTCTCCCCTTTTAGCTTTCAAGCGCGTAATGCGTAACGGTAGTTGATTATCAAGCAACTTCGAGCTGCAATATCGCTCTGCTTAGAAGCGGTTTTGTTTGTAAGAAAACATTGCCGATTCTTTTTGCTTCTTTGTTAAACTAAATCGCTCCTGAATATGGCGAGATTACAACTCAAATTGACCTTGATAATCAACTACCGTCACGCATTCCGCGCTTGAAAGCTAAAAGGGGAAAGGTCTATTGGCAGTAAGGAAACCTGTGTTTTGGGCGTAACTTGTTGTGATTGTAGAATATTATAATGCGTCATGCGGTTCCCACTCGTATATGACAACAAAGATGCAAATTACAAACGATTTAAAACCACACCGACAAAATGGGTGTAATTTCCACTCGGATATCCACTGCAGAATGACTTGTCCTAGCGTGTTGCATATGACACGCACCTCATGACTCTCACAGTCTAATCGATTATTGTTTCTGCTTTGTATTCTATTATATTGTACATCCCTCGCTACATCCACGAGTCTGAGCACTGAGTATTGAATACAGTACTATCGCTCTACCATAACTCTATGCAACTCGGCTGGCACTGTACGAAACTCAAAACAGTTACCAGCGTTAGCTATACAGCTATTATGAATCATTACGAGAGAAATATTTGCATAAATGTTCAAGTATTACTGCATAATTGATGTATGTGGTTTGAGAGAGAAAACCATGCTCTAGTAGTAAGTATTATATAGATTTTCTGGTCACTGAGTAAAATCGTATTGAATGAAACACGCGTCATTTGCATGCATGTGTAAGCAAAACACATTTGCGTAAGCCAATCAGAAACGGCGTAGGAGATATGTTTGACCAATCACTGAACATGTTGTAAGACTATGATATACGAGAAGCATTGAAATGTGTGGTATCTTATTGACATACTTGTGTGGAGTTTCTATATGAATTGTTGTTTATTTATACTTGTTTGTCAATATATATAATGGTTTGGAAATATAAGGAATTTAATTCTTGTGTTGGAGTGAATATTTCTTTCGCGTTTGCCTGGATCACTCGTGAGCAATATTCTCCGGAGCAATCAATGAACTCCATATATTTCCTCGTAACTATGTAATAAATAATATAACTGTCCGCGTAAGACGTGGTAAGATTTATCAACCGAGCATTATAGTACACCACTATAAAATATGATTATCATACAAACGAGGATACAAAGTTAAATTTGCTTAGCATAAATCCACAAAAACAAAGAGCTCTCTGCTCTCATGCCTGCCGTCACGTCCGGATGACGTCAAGATGACGCATTTTTGACACTTAAAATTGCAAAATATGCAAACACGTTTTATTGCTGCACACATTACACTTAGACAATCAATTGTGGGTTGTGAAAAAGCTGTTTAAAACGCAATATGTAAAACCTAGCACACAATGTATTCGGTTTGAAATAGGTTCCGGAAAGTCCGTCGAATTCTTTTCGACGGAAATAACTTCGGCAGGTTGGACAAAAATCTTTAAATGGTAACAAGTGCTAATCACTTCTCACACCATTATTTTTTACGTCATTACTTAGGTCGATAGACAGGTTTGCGCAAAGTTCGTCGAGGATAACAACAACGTTATAATCGCTTAATCGTAAACAAAAATACTGGATATCAAACTGACGTATACCATTCACCACTTCGCAAGATTGATTCGCAAGAACAAGCAATGAGGTAGGGTTTTTTTAATGTTTCAAGAGAACATCGTTTTCCTGAATGAATGACATACGTACGTGCGTACACTCAACTTTGACACACGCGAGAGCAAGTTCGTACAGCAAGTTTTCCTTGGCTTTAGCAAGCCGAAGATTACTTTCAAACGGGAAGTGAGTGTAAAACTTTAATTAAAGACGCCTTATTATTACCGTTCTATACAAACACATAAAAAGCAAATCAATATGTCTCATAGTATATAGTTTTTGGTAAAGTACATTATACTATGAACGATATTGTTCTGTTGTATATATCGTTGAAATATGTTCATTTGGCTAGAACAGTTAAAATATCAAAGGGTTTAAACCCTTAAGGTTAAAATATATTTGCTCTGTTATTATGTTGAAAGAATTTCACTTGTTTTTCAGCACTCGATCTAAAAGCTCTGTTATATAATTTCATTAAATCTTTGATATCATGTCTATACTAACGAATGCAAAAAATATTTCAACACAACTATCGATGCACGTAAATGAGGAAATAGAATTGAACTTCGCGGACGTGTGTATGGCGATTAATGATATATAACAAAATATTGTTTCACTATATCGGACCCAACTTATTACTACAAAAAAAAATGTTAAAGCACGCGCTTTGATCAAAGTTAAATACTTTATAATAATTATAATATACTATAGTCAGGTAATGATGTATTGTAATAGCCATATACAGATATAGCATTTAAAATTTCCTGTGGTATTCATATATGCCTTAAAAAATGTAGGTATATTTCTTTTACCCCCCTGGTGCATTAACACTTGACACCTACAGCGCGCATTTTCCGGAGGAGTGGAACAATTCAGTTGGAATATAAATTCAATATACTCAATACTGATGTCTAACCATAAAGGCTGAGAATGAAATAATACAACGTATAGCGAGCCTCAAGTATAAGGCAGGAAATAAAATGAGGGAAATGTTATGATTAGAAAATGGAATATAATATTTGGACTGGAAAATAACATTACTTCGGAAGGTTTGTCACTTTGTCTTCACCTGGTTGTCGGTGTTGTTTATATTCGCTTGAAATTATGCAATCTAATTTGACTGCAGATCGTATAGTTATCAAACTTTTGTTTAACAAAGCGTAAAATTGTATATAGTATGTGATACTGCAATATTTGACATTATATAGGCTAATACTCATCAGTTTCCGTGGCAGTATGTATTAAACTTTTGTTGCATACCTACGGAGATTGTATATTTCTCATTTATTTACCGTAAGAAAATGATAGTTAGTTTAGTGTTGACTGCATGTACGTGCTCAAGAAATAAAGCAGGTAGAATGCTACAGACTCAGAGTTTCTTCAGCCGGTGATTCAGTAGTTTTATAGAACTTAAAACTCGAAACGCGATGCCTTAAGGAAGTTTTGCATGAAACTTCACGGCTTCCGCATTCATTTCGTCTCTGTATATTGCGTCGCTATCTATTTAACCCAATTTCCATTTTACATTTAAAATTGAGTCGATAAAATCTTTGAAGCATGAATTTATTGCGGACGTTTTCTTTGACAACTAAAAATCTCCAGCATAGCTTTACCAGACAATATAATAATAATTGTGTTACAAGCGCGTTTTGCGCCCCGCACGATCGAGGCTAATTTATCGCACGCGTTGACGAAATTCGTTGGTTCACAAGTAGGCCCTTCATTTAGGGCATAAAGTAGTACATGTGGTAAACACGTACTTCCGCGATTAAAAATCCAATATTGCTAGCTAACCGCAGCCTGGTGACAGTTAAACAATGGTGCAGAATAAAATGATAATTAATCATACCTTAAGGCTAAGGAGTTTCCGATGAACAACACACGCGATGAGTCGTACGCACATACACCGATCTAAATGATACAAAAAACAGCGTTGAAAAATTATGAAACTATACATATATATAGCTAAATAAATACTTTCCGGAAGAAAGCCGATAAGTTGTGAAGTTTTTTTTGTATTATATAAAGCTGTTGCCTATATAACCACACCTATAAAAACAGTATGTAGCCGATAATCGCGTGTGGCCGTTTAATCAATATTTGAAATAGTTCTCATGCAAGCTAATTTTATCATAGACATAGGGAAAATATTCTACCGCCCTGTTGATTTCGGAAACACGCAGGAGACCTGAACACACTTTGTAAAAAACTTCATGCAGTATGTGGAGGGTACGAGATATGACTCCCTTACTCAAAGGCAAAATGCCAGATTTACTTTAAACATAAACGGTCGCCCGAGCTTCCAACACATGTCACTAACGTTTGACTCTTGTAAAATTATAATAAACCGTTACGTGTTACTGGCTCAAGGCCTGAATTCAAGCCGATACAAATTTTTGGATAAATTACAGCGAAACATTTCCGAGTCATTTCGACAATAATACTATACATATAATACAAAATGGGAAGAAAATAAGCCTCATTTGTCATCAATCTTTGTCATTAAACTTTGTCCAAGATTTTGTACGGAGGAAAGCAGCCCAGGCAGCCATCAACCTGTTCATTGTCAAACTTTGACCACGCACATTACAACGGCTATATGTTAAAATAACTGCGTGCATGGTTGGTATAACACCAACACTGCTGAATGAGGAAGCATTTTTCTATCCCTCTGCGAATAGGGAGAAAGTTAAACTCTTCCGCGATGTGTATATTGTCGACTTCAGGAAAAAGAAAGTGAAAAAGAAATAAAGTTGTCAATTCTTACATGATTGATGTAATTTTTTCAAGCCAGACGCGAATATTTGACGTGTATTTCAAGGCCGCTATCACAAATAACTTCAACATTAACTCGTACATCATTTCCATATTTCGGAAGAAGTTACTGACCTGTCATAACTGACCTTTGTCTTATACCTAATTTAGTTCAGTGTAAACTGCATGATAACTTCAAGGAATTGAGGAAGAAATTTTCCTGACATGCAGTATATGGGAACTTTTTTGCAGGCGACTGAAGTTTGCGACTACTGTAGCTATAGTCAATATTGAAATATGACATAGACGTCTATGTAAAAAGCGCATTCGAACCGCAGCTGGCTTATAATATGTACATTACGAGGTACATTATATAGATGTCCAGAGAGTGATCAGGTATTTATATGGAAGCATATATCAGTGACCCTCTGTAAGTAAAGCATTTTTATACGCATACAAAGAGATTTATATACGACTGAAGCAGTTTTACTATACAACTTATAATGCAATTTCGGACATTAAGTTACGTTACATGTAAAGGAATATACCGGCTCTTAATTTACACGAGAAAAAAATGTGGGTATTGAGACAGGTTATATACATGCAAGTTAATAATGTACGTAGCAAACGTCAGCGACTCAGCATGCATGACGACAACAAAAACGAATCGAAAAAATTAATGTTATTATATATGCCAGCGTGCAATATATATTTCTATAGATTTCAAACTATATTTATGACTTATGGAGGAGTGAAAATATTAATGGACGTGACTTATACAGGCATAAAAACGTTCACGTTGTGACCGGTTGATAGGCTGAAGCGCTGAAAAAATAGGATTAAAGAATATAACCAGACGTGCATGTCAAAACTGATTGCTGACAACCATTCAGTATACCGAGAAATAAGTACAACCAACCACACTGTTCAGTCCTGTTTTTATCAACCAGAAACAACTTGTGCCGGCGTATTTGCCGAGTATAATATTCATGGTTAATTAATAAATTATATTTCACTGCCTGGCAAGAATTTCATTGAATCAAAGGATTTATAGAAAGGTAATTTAAGCAAGACCTGCCAGAAACGTCAATGTTAATGAAGGAACTTGACTTTTCTTTTCAGGTAAGGAAAGAAAGGAAGGTTTTTATCTTGATACAACTCATAAATATAGTATAGCTACACGCTTTCATACATCGAACCGCATTAAATTTATACACTTGTATCTTATAGCATTGCATGAGCAATGTTTAATATCTGTATTATTTAAATGTTGATTACAAACTTTTTCAATACATTCACAGAGTGGGTCTTCATAGCCTATCAAAGCAAATATATAAATACAAGACCACATAGCATTGAGAATTGACACAAATTCCACACATGGCTAGCTAAAATGAATACTCATATTAGCTAACCCGGTCGATAGGTTTTGGACACGCGAAGTTTTAACAGTTATCAATGAACAAACTACTTTGGATCCTGTAATTAATGAATACGAAATTTCAATTTAAGGTTCAAGCATGGCAATTTTTTTCGGAATGAAAGAAATTTCTTTTCATATAGCTTGATACACTTTTCTAGAAGTCGATATATACCAACGTCATTGCCTTTAACGTTGCCAGAATTCCAGTTTTTTTCTTTGATTATATAGTATAACACAAAGAAAACAAATCCTCATAATATCGCTTCAGATTTAAAGATTAACAATTGATTTTTATCGTGAACATGTTTGATATATATTTTTATGCTGTTTGATTGTCTTCCATGATGCTGCTAAGATGCTGGGAACACAAAACTTAAAAGAATATATCCAGATGGATTATCCACTTAGTGGATTTCGTTGACACATGTACGTCAGAGCATTCTCGAGCTGAAAGGCATGCTTTAAACTTTTATGACAATTTCCGGTTGCTTTCCGCTAAATATATATGCATATATAGCAAGCATGTCTGTAGCTATATATACATAATCAGATTATTGAGAAACTGGACTATTGAGACTCTCCACTCTAGGATCCTTACGCCCCCCAAAGATGACTTAGAAAATAAAGTTTTGCCATTTTCTTGGAATATATATATATATAATATATATACTGCTTAGCTTCCGTTTCCCATCGAAATTACTTGTAATCTTCATGTCAAAACAACGAAAAGGTATAATTATAAGTCGTTTTCATACCCGTAGCATGTATATTTTTAAATAATTAATCTTTACTGGAAAACTGTCCAACACGGCAACAGTTGACTGAATTTTAGAATTACTATGTATATACGAAAGTATAAAGCCGCGGTTGAGTATTTTCATTGCAATCATAGATAAATCAGTCGACATTCGTTTACGAGCTACGTGAGGAATGCTAAAGCTTGAATGTTTGGAATAAGGTAGCAAAACTGATTTCGGACAAACCTTGATGTTGATGGACGGACTTCATGAAGTGTACAAATGTATTTGATGACGTAGTCTGCTTCAAGCGCGCCAAGGTGAAGTAATTCATTACGGATGAAGACAAGGTCAAGCGTCTAGTGATCTCTCCAAGAACGAAATCTGAAAAAATAAGACGAAATTAAATTTTAAAATATTTTTTGGAAGTCCGCCATAAGTTGACGCAAACAACGTCAATGAAATGCGAAAGTTGAATTGACGTAAATATGTATCGTAACAGCTATCAAGCTTTGCAGCTCTAATGCTCTATATACTGAAAAAAAACTGCTAAAGCTCAAAGGCCAATACAAGTCAAGGTTTTAGTAAATGTTTTCTTATCTCTAAGGCAACAAGTATTCATTTTAAATCTCTACACACTGTCTGTGAGTATACATATCTCAGCATAACACACTGAGTACGCATAAATGATATCATGCAGCTGACGAAAATTGCTCGATCTGTAAAGTGGCATTTTCCTGTTCATTATACTGTTTGTTTATAAAAATACGCTGCTTTAATAAGATCAAGTGTTTTATTTCCTCATCATTTCGTATTTGCTGCGAACCTTTCGTATTTGAACGACAAAGCCAACCTTCACTCGACTCTATATTGGAAACTTACTACTATATAGATTAAAGGATCGTCAAGTTTGCTGGGCAAGCATGCAAAACCCAAATACTTCAGATGAATAGAGAGGTACGTTTGTATAACAATTAACGGTATCTAACTATATGCTGTTTGTAATGCTCAAACGGAAAAGCCATTTGGAGAAGGCTGCTCGCGATAAATAAACAGTGTAGCTATGTGTATTAGCTACATATTACATATAAGATAGTGAAGAATAAATCATTTATATATGAAGGCGTATACATAGGATTCGTTCTATAGTTATTTAATATCCTGGGTTTATTATGAGTTAAATTCAACCTAAAATTAAACCACTCTGTGAAATAACTGTTGAGCACGTCCTATATAGAGTTTGTTTTATTTGTTCGGCATCACTGCACCACTGACTTATATAGACTAACTCACTCTCACGACGTTGAAACAGCTTGTATTTTTTAGGCAGACTGATATAATGAACAGATTCACAAGACCGTATCTATTTGTGATTAGTAGCGTTCTGTCGGCTACAAAATTATAGAGCATGATATAGAGTTCATTCCTTGAGGTATGAACGGTCAACGGTGATAAAATAAAAAGGGGTGTACCGCAAAGGAGAACAACGATAAATATTCAATATTGCCTCGGTTTTGTTAACATGGCATGGCAGGAGTACTTGTCCTTATATCTTTGAGTGAAATTCTAGCTAGAAAGTGGATAGAAAAGAGTTATATAAAGGCTTTAATTGTAGCAATATCTAACTGAATGACACGACGCTATGAACGTGGTGTGTGAATCGTGCGATATTGCACGTATGCATGCGGAAGCACACAGACGGTAGCCAGTTCCGTGTTATCTTATAGGCCAAGACAATACGTTTGTCAGGAAACCTAGTTAACCTACCCTAAACAGATTTGAAGTAGGAACTATAGTATGATATTACATGGCTACTCTTGTCCAATCACTGTTAAATTTACAATGGGGAAGGGAGAAGACTAACTTTGACGGAGAACATTTCAGCTTAAATAGAAACAGCTTATTACATGCACCAGTGTTGCAAGTAATTTTCTGATGCCTGGGAATCCCGCTCGATCTACTTCACTTAGACTTCTATTTCCCAGAAATATATTGTGATCATATCAAAGATGTTTTGATCATATTTGGGTGCATCTAAGTTTGCAATAAAATAAGGAAATAAATATGTACAGATGTTTGTAAAGGTTATGGAAGGTTACATTAAGGGTAAACACGCATGCATGGATGAACACAATTGTCCATGTAGCCTGTTCAATTTTCGATTCTGTGCTTTTAGCAACTAAGAACATAAACTTAGCTATATTGATCACTTATGATGATCAACATTTTATCTGCATGCAAACCATGTCATTGTAACAATGACGTTTCCGTTTCCATAATGGTTAAAAATAATTTTAAGGCACAATTCTAGTGTGTGAATCTTTCTATATTTATACTAAGAGAATAATTAAGTTATCTAGAATAAAGATATCTTATAGAGGCATAATACAAACTTCAACCCGTATTTAACTAACTTTCATAGTGAAGGAACTTTGCCTAACGGTACAAAATTCTGTGATGATTTTTTCGTTTATATAAACAGATGTCACTGAACGCTAAATTAAGCAACGTATATTCGACGAACATATAGCTATATAAGAGTTGATCTTTGTCGTAAATTCTGCATGACATATACGGTTTGGCAAAAGTGTTATCAATGCAGATGGTGTCAATGAATTACCAAAAATCTGGAGAAAAATAGTGCTAAAATTGTAATATATATATATATATATATATATATATATATATATATAGACGTAAGAAATTATTAGATTCATTGCATTCATTCCCATGGGTAAAAAAATTTGGGGAGGATTCGTCATTTGAACACCCAGCATGAAAGATAATTAAAGAAGACTATAGCAGACAGTGAATACGTCGAAACAATATTAATATAATTAGTGCCTGAAAGTGAATATACATACGCAACTGATAATTGCCCTTTGACAGCCTAGCTTCGTAGCGGTGAAGAACGCTTGTTTAGTTGTGTGCTTCGTTTTATTAGCCCTAGATAGAGTTGCATGAAACTCCGCTTAAAATAAAGCTATAAGTTATCCTATAGTCTTATACGATCTTAACTTGGCAGTTGTTCAAAGCCTACTGTGTTGTTAAGTGAAAGCTGAAATAACTATATGCATTTAACTTCAATAATGTAGAGAATGTAGAATGTAGAGAAGCCCGAACTAAGACTCGATACGGTCGCCGTTTTACAATTCAGAAAAAAGGTTTCTACACTTATATATAAACTATATATACAACGTAATGTAATGAAATCCAAAGAATGATTAATCCTTTTTGTGAATTACCACTGATACAAGCCAACCTCCTATTGTTTTTCTAAATGACTGAGTCAGAAATAGCTCACACTCTGTTTAAGCACTATTTGACGCCACAGAGTACTCGCATTGAGAGAGCATCCTTGACATTGGCACGGCTGGACACAAACTAGAAGGCATTTCTTGAAATTAACATAAAACATGACAGGGTTCTTTATACGAAAACATGCATCAGCATAACAATTAAAGACACTGACATGCAGGCATTTATTCTAAACCGAAGGGCGTAATTATTTGATAATATATAATATATATTTCTACAGCTAATTTTATGGAGGGGAATCACTGACCCAACAATTAAATTACTTTCGAAGCATCGCAATAAAAATATCTGAAAGCTATACATTTGTGTATTTAATAACATTCTTTCTATACGGTTTGATAACAGACTAAATCATTCCTGCCAAAAGGTGTATCATTTTATGTTTTTACAAAAGTTGTTCAAAAATTGAAATATGATTAGTGTTAAAGTAGAAAAATATGCCGTCTTTGGTGACTTTTTTATTAGACATTATAAACTAATGGATTTGGTTTGGCTTCAAAGTTCCAAATATCGTAGATCTATATCTCCAGTGTAGTTTCAGAAAACATACGGTTTTTAATCACTGGATACCTAAATACAAGGCACGCCTATATATATCCTTTGTGTTTTCATATTCCATACCGTTAACTGACGCGCAACTAACACAGACTGGAATTTTATTTAAAAAAATCCGAAGGTGATGAAACTCGCTATTGTTCTCATATGGTATAAACATCGCGTGTGTTATTACGTGATTACATTTCAAACATTGAGTGCACCGCTGGAGGTATTAAAGTTCAAACTTCAAAGTAATCCATGTATTGTTTATAACCAAGTGAAATATCCGTACATGCAGTCACTGGGTCTTGTTATCAAAGGATTTTTTATTGTTTCAGTGACTCAGGGAAACTTTATACCGTAAAATGATTGTGGCAATTTATATAGGTTACGAATTATATCGCGTTTTCTTGATATATATCTTATATGACTCGATAACTGCATGTAAATCATTTTAATAATATAGTTATATCATTATAGCTATAATTTCATATTTAGTTTAATTTTATATATTGGACCAACTTCGATGACTGTTTGATCAATTAAAATAGTCAAGTACGAGAGGAACACGCCCTATAATATATCGAGGCCAGTAATCACTACTGTAATTCAGGACAACCAAGTATAGGTTGATTGGAAGCTGTTCAGCATCAGACACTGTGATCATGCAGTCATGGATAAACTTTGATCAAAACCAGATGCATGCATGTTAAGGCAGTTAAGCTTTCTCTCGGCTCTTTCTGTGACAAATTATAACTGATCAGTCATCAAGGATAGTCTCTTTCGACTGCAAGTAACTTAATGAAAAAGATTAAGCAAAACATTGGTATTGCGATATAAATTTCCTAAGGTTAGGAACAAACATCATATCCTATGCCAATATGAAAATATATGCGCGTATAAACGTATCCCAAAGATCCGTATAAGCTAAGCACATGCGCAAAATTGTACTGGTAGTGAACGAAACTGATTAAGGAATGACTGTACCACTTCGTAATGGATGGATATTTAACTTCAGGCGTAGAAGTGGACTATTCCGAGGTGTGTTTATACAGAGTTAGTTTGCCAAATTATTCAAAATCTTTAAAACAAACACTTCACTATTTTTACCCCAAAAGTACTTTGAATAATGCAGTGTCAGTCCATGACAGTGTCATGGGTGAGACAACGCACTACAGTGTCAATATATACATTATCATGCATACTCCATTCAAGACCGCAGTTTTCAGATTAGAATGTACATTCTCAGAGGTTCGTTTTCATGACCATACAATGACGTTACATTGACGCAATAATTTCACAAGATATTGAAAGTCATTACCAAATTTGTAACACATCATTACATATGGACGGCAAACAAGACCAAACCCAATTGTGATATGTGCAATTAAGTACCAACTCCAGTGCATATTTCACTTACGAAATCATGTTAACACCCAATGACGATTGCTGTGTGTGTGTTTACTTAATCTATAACCCACAGTAGCCCACATGATATGAATTGCAATTATTCGTAATATCGCCTAAAC